ATATGTTTCACGTATTATCATTTTTATTTTGATTGTGATAATTTATGGAGTGTAGTGTGACAATTTGTTGTATGCCCACCGTGACAGTCATGTCAGATTAATTAGCGCTTCCAGCCCCTTAAAACATTTTTGGGGCCCAGTGTGATAACTTAGTGGCTAAAGTCCTTGCCTTGCACACACTGGGATCCCATATAGGTGCCGATTCTAATCCTGGTGGCCCCGCTTCCCATCCAGCTCCCTGCTTGTGGTCTGGGGAAGCAGTTGAGGATGGTCCAGAGCCTTGGGATCCTGCACCCACGTGGGAGACCTGGAAGAGTCTCTTGACTCCTGGCTTCAGATTGGTGCAGCTCCAGCTGTTGTGGCTGCTTGGGAATCAACGGATGGAGGATCTTCCTCTCTGTCTCCTCCTCTCTGTATATCTGACTTTCCAGTAAAAATAAATAAATCTTTAAAAAAAATTTTTTTTTCATTGGGTCAGGTGTTTTAGGCAGCAGTTAAAGTTATACTTAGGATTCCTTACCCTTGTACTTGAATGTCTAGATTTGAGTTCTGACTCTGCCTCACTTCCAGTTTCCTGGAAAATAAGCACCCTGGGAGGGATTGGCAAGAGCTTGCATGGAGTTCCAAGCTCTGGCTTTGGCCAGCTATTGGGAGGCATGTAGGGAGCACATTGGTAGACTAGAGCCCTTCTTTGTTTCTTTCTGTCTCAGCCTTTTAAATAAAAAAATAAATAAACAGGCAAGCAGATAAAACAATAATTGCATGTGTTCCTGGGGGCACACTGTGATATTTCTGGAAATGCATGCAATATGTATTGGTCGAATTAGAATATTTAACACTTCCCTTTCTTTGTCCTTAGTGTATGCTGGGAGACTTTGGTATTCTCTTTTTTCTTACTAATTTAAAGAGATAATGAGTTGTTGTAAACTCTAGCCATATCACTGTGCTCAAAAGCACCAGAACTTGTCCTATACCCCATTAAAACCAAGCTCCCTCATGCTACAGAACATGTAAAAGAACCAGGGCCATGGCACAGATGAAAAGTGATTAAACAGCAGAAACTTTTAGCCCAATTAGAATTCTTACGATAGTTCATTTTCTTCCTATTGACCTGGTGTTATGTCACCACTTCATGTTCTAAAACTTCAGGATTAGTACAATGCCAGCCACGTTCATCCTTGATGCACCTGTTGTTTTTTTTTTTTTCTTATTTTGACTGCTTCCTTGGTCTTGAACTTGTTCAAATTTCCTCACTGTAAGCAGTACCTTTTCTGGGGCAGATGCTATGGTACAACAAGTTAAGCCACCACCTGGTGGCTCCTATGAGCATTGGTTTGTATCCTGGCGCTCCACTTCTGATTCAGCTTCCTGGTATTGTTTATGGGAAAGTAGTGGAAGAAAGGCCAACTATTTGGGCCCCTGTCACCCATGTGAGAGTCCTGGATGAAGCTCCTGGCTCCATGCTTCAGCCTGACCCAACCCTCGCTGTTGTGGCCGTTTGGGGAGTGAATCAGTGGGTGGAAGATTTCAATCTCTCTCTCTCTACCTTTCGAGTAAATAAGTAAAACATGATTAAAGAAATAACATTTCTGTTGTGTAGCTCATCTGGTCTGTGGCTTTAGGGCATGTCTGAACTAAGATGGAGGACCCCGTGTGTGAAGCTGGCAGTCCTGTCTCATTTTAGATATCTCCTAAATATTCTCAGAGCCATCCCAGAGTGGAACATCCTGTCTTGGCATTCAAAGTATTTGCAAGGGTTCCCCTTCACCCACTCCCTCCCTGCCACTGCAGAAGCCAGAAATGCTCTGCTTGGCAGAATTCAGGAGTGTTTACAACAGAAACCCCACAAAAGAGTAGACTCTTTTTCATTTTTTTATTAGCATCAATATATACAAAGTGGAAAATGACTTCATTTTATTATTTAAGCTTAGAAAGTTTGTTTTCCTTCGGTTTAGCGAGAAAATGAAAGCGAAACTTGCCCAAGAGAAAAGACGACCTTTGGCGGGCATGGGGAGGGACATATGTGTTTAACAACTCATTATCTGACCTTCAATGCCTCACTGTGCCCAAAGATGTAGGAAGGTCATGGCCTTTAGATGTATTGCGAGGAAGGGTTGTTCTTGCTGAAGGCTCATGCCTTAATCATGCAACTTCCTCTTGCCATCCAAAACGGGCAGACGCTTGGCTTCTTTCTGAACTTGCTGGCCAATCGGAGCTCTCTGCCTGAAGTTTTGTAGGCTCCCAGCCCTCCACCCTCATCCCAAGAATCTGGCTTCAAAAGATCACAGCTCAAAGCTTATCTATGGAACTAAGTGAAGATGGTCTTGCGGTGGTGATTAAAAGACTTATGCTGGCTAATCCTACCAAAATAACCTATCAACACAAAACAAAAGGCTGAGCTCCAAGCTGTAGAGGAGTGAGTGTAAGTACAGGGTGGCAGCTGACAGATACAGCTAATAGGGCTTAGCATGTAACACGCCATCACATGCAATCTCTGAAGTTCCCGTTGTTTTAAAAAACAAAGAGTGGCTTCTGGGAAGGCTCAGTCCATTTGTAAGCTCCTCGGGAGGTTGTCCTGTTCAAAAATAGTGAATCCCAATGGGTTTAATATTGATCTTATAAAAACCGGACATCTTCTGAATCGTGATGAGATGCCTTGTGTGTTTTTGGCACAATGATCATTGTCTTTCGTCTTCATGTTACAAACACATGTTTTGACATCTTGAAAAAGAAAAAAATAAATACCAACCTGTCTTTTTAATCACACTGTACACCGTAGTTTGCATGATTCATCTCTAGGCAAAAACCAACTTTCAAAACGTGGTTACAGGTGCTACACAACAGAACTAATATACTCCTCTCCTGGAAAAAAAAAAAAAATCAAAGCCCAACACCTTTTCCCATCACTCCAATACCCAATCAGAATACCTGGGCTCTGACGGGCTCAGTCTTATGGAGAAGGGTTAGGATAAAGATTCTACACATTGTCAATCTTAAACAAGGCAGGAATTCAATTCCACCTCTCCCTAATATGTTCTGAAATCAAACATCAACTTTTGATCTTTTATCTATTCCGGATGATCCAGGGTTAAGGTTAAGAGAAACATGAAACAGAAAGAGAAGCTTACATTATTGCTGGTGCTGTCCTGCTCTAAATGTAACACTGCTCAATGGTACCTGCTACGCTGGTCATTCTTTCATAAAATGGGGTGCAGTCTGTAGTGAACGCTTACTGTGTGTCACAAACGCATGCCTTTGGGAGCCCCTATGTAGCATTCCTTTCTGGCAGAAGAAGTAAACTGTTCTCGCTTTAGATCTCCAAGACTGAGGGCAGAGCTCCTGGTGTGAAGTCACCTTCCCTCTGTTTCCTTAGCTGTTTTCACAACAAGTTCTGCATAATGATCCCTTGCCATTCTCCTCAGGGCATGACAACCAGAAAGCTCTTCTCTTTGCTGAAAATAGCACATCTAAACAATTGTAGGATATCACAGGATGAACTCCCCACCCCATGCAACGCCACCCAGCAGATGTGCCTCTCTGAACCCTGTGGTTGCCACATGCTTGCTCTGTGGCCCTAAGGAGGCGAATCTGTCCCCATGTGTCCTGTTCTTTCCATGCATCTCTGTCCTCTGCCTTTTAGCCAAGAATCTCCCACTCACACACTCACCAGTCCCATCAAACTGGGCTCAAACGATGCTGCTAAAACATAAGGATGCCCGTGGGATCAGCTGTGTCACTATGGCTGTCTATTCTGACCTGAACTTCCTCCTTCTCGCTTCACTGGCGTTTATGTCAGATGATGCCCAGTCCATTACAAAGGCGGCTGAGATTTTACATGCCTGCTTCCGGTTTTCTGCAGTTCCCCATGAACAGCTCTTTAGAGAGAGAGGCTTCCTCTTCCCCACATCCTCCACCCTGGAAATTCTTGAAAGTCAACAGATGCACAGTGCACTTTTTGCTCCCCTAGTATGAAGGCAAAGTGTTGCCAGGACCCCAAGAGAAAAAACAGAGTTCACTCCTAGTTTCAGACCATCTCCTCCTTCTCAATACAAACCCTGACGATCCTTGGGACAAAGCTGTCCGTGTCTCCCAAGCTTGTGGCTTTGTCGTCACAGCACGAGGTTGGCCCTTGTGAGCAAAGGCGTGGACCCCACCACCTGTGGCATCAATCACTTGCTTTTTTGTGGCAGAAGAGTGTCAAAGCAAAGAACATTTTATTCACTCCGTTCTTTCACCCAGCGCTCCCCGCTCACCCAATTCTTCATGAGAGCACACAGATCTCTCATCTTCTCTGTGTGTGTTCTCTTGTGATTGGTCACCTTTTTTTTTTTTTTTCAAAATAAAATGTTTCCTTATCTGGTCAGCATCCAGTGGGGCCAGAGTGATAAGAGATAATTCTTAATGGAATGTAAGACCCTGTCAGGGAGGGAGGGAGGGAGATAAGACCTTCAAGAAGCTGGTGAAATTGGAAGAGGGGACACACAATTCATTTTGGAGCAGATCTCCGGGAACGGGCTTACGTACTCCTACTGAATCCCAATCCAAGTTCAACACCCAACACCTTTCTGATCTAATCCTGGGACTTGTATGAAAAACTCCGTGGGGCATGGGTTCTCAGGTTCATGCAGCTGGATGTCGATGCCACCTTAGCCTGGCATTGCCGATGCAGGAAACTCACTCTGTGGTGGTTTATTTATTACTATTATTTTTCGTAGCTGCTGCTGCTTGCCGTTTGTAAGTCTTCCACCTGCTTTCAGAATCGAGGCTGTTAACACGCATTCGGCCCCAGCCTGGGTACATTGGACCACACCTATCTCAATTTTTGTTTTTAAATATAATAAATACAGCGAACGAAACAGCAAAGCTCTTCAATGAAGAGTCCAAAGCAAAGACGGCTGACGCTCCAGGGGTTGCCATCCAATACCACGGCATCTCTGGATGTGAGTCTCAGGGAAGCTGCGGTTGAGTTCATAAGTTTCCTTTCTCTGGAGCAGCAGTCTTTAGATTGAAACCTCATACTCTCTGGTTTCCTGTGGGAGAGACACAAGTGCAGGTTGGAAAACCTTTAGCTGACAGGGTGTGTACCCATTCTCCATTGCCCCCTTGGCTGTGTGTGGCTTTGTGATGTCTTTCTGAATGGGTCAATTTTTCATTCCTAAAATGACATACCTGAAATAGGCTACTGTACAAAGAAAAGAGGTTTACTTGGGTTCATGGTTCTGAAGGTGTTAGGTCTAGGGACCTTCCTGCTGGTGGAGTTTCACGTTGGCACACAGCATTCCATGCTGAGACACAGGATCTGTACGCGTGTCTGCTTGGTTTTTCTCTTCTTACAGCACCGCCCTCGGAACGGAGTTATGGGGGCTTTACTCTTAATCACCGCCTCTGAATTAAGTTCCCACCCTCCGTGCTTCTCCACGGGGTGGGGCACAATCAAACCCTCTCCAAGTCACAGCATTTCCTGCCCTGACCATGGCTTGTTTTGGGAGATGGATCATAAGCAAACGGCATCCAACAGGTGCTCAGAATGTGTGTGTGTGTTTCTCTCTCTGTCTTCTTCCTCCTCCCAGCTCCCTGAGTGGGGTATATTCCACCAGCCTTGGGCCACCAGGGAAGGAGGGAAGACAGAGACATCAGAGCCCCATCCCCCACAATGTCAACTGTCTCCAACATCATCACCCACATTCTCCCGTGGACTAAGGGGCACATTCACGTTTGCCACTAAATTCTGGAATAGTTAGTCAACTCCGGGCCATTGGATAGAGCCTGTTCAGAGGCATTCATACAAATCCAATCTTGAAAGGCTACGTGTTTTCATCCTCATTGTCCTCTTTCAGGCTTTGGTAGCAAGTTCCGTGCAACAACAGAATGTAGGTCCTTCTGTTCCAAGCGCTACCTACGACTGTGTGGGTAGCAAGTAGTTCAAACCAATTGGATTTTTTCCCCCCAATATTTAAGGAGTGTGCACAACGCATTCCAGGCTCTGAGCTGAAGAGCAGGGTCCCAGGCTCAGCCCCAGAGAGGGTCATTGTCATGTGCTCTGACAGGGGATTTCAGTTCCTGCTGGACCCAGGTGGATGTGCAACTTCATCTATGCCACTTGGTTGACAGGAGATGAGATGGGTGAACTCTCACGTGGTCCCCATTCTCTGGTGTTTGTGCCCCTGTGTCATTCCCTTCCCTGTGACTTGACTCTAACTGATAGGAAAGAGAGGTGCTGGGAAGGGACATTGCTTCTGTGTTTTGGGAGATGGATAATAAGCAAATGGCATCCAACAGGTGCTCAGAGCACAGGATTGTGACTTTGGTCTTTCAAAGAGTCTCCTGCTGGCTTTGAAGCAAGCTGCCATGCTGTGGCCTCCTCTGGGGAAAGGAATGGCCTCTGGGTGGTCGTCTGCAAGAAAAAGCCTTGGAGCCCTGCACCTGCATGAGAGACCCAGAAGAAGCTCCTGGCTTCTGGCTTTGGATCAGCTCAGCTCTGGCCATTGCAGCCACTTAGGGAATGAACCAGGGGATGGAAGATCTTCCTCTCTGTAAATCTGACTTTCCAATAGAAATAAATAAATCTTTTTTAAAAAGTATTTTAAAAAGCCTGGTGTTGACGTGTGCAGAGGGAAGGGGCATTGGGGCAATTACAAGGGTTATATGAGGTCATGAGAGGCCTCCCAAATACACCTGTGGTTTTATCAAATGAGGTAGAGAAAGTAGAGCTGGTACTCCTCTATTTCATCATGGGATGTTCTCTGCCATGCTAGGATGCAGCAAAAGGGTCCTTACCCCCAGTGTCTGAACTGTACCAACCACCCTACTCTTGGATTCCTCAGCCTTCTAAGCTGTGAGCCAAACACACTCACGCTCTTTGTAAATGACCTCATCTGGTACAGAGACACAACAGGGGCTAAGACAAGAGGACCGCTGCACATTGCCACCGGGCCACCGGGAGCCTCCTTCGTCTGGACCCTGGCTCTGCAGGTCAGGAGTGCAGCCCCCTATTCCTCCCACTAAGAGAACATCGTCTTGTCACCCGCTCCAGTCGCCTGCAGACAGAGCTGGGTTCTCCCAGCCACGTTCGCAGCAGGGATCACGGTGCTGGTGGCGATGGGGAGACGGATATCACGGGACAGTGCTCTTGTTCGTGGCATCATGATCATGCAAGAGGAAGTGATTCCTTCGTTTTTCAGCTAGGCAGGGATTCTGAGCAAAGCTGAACAAAGATTGAGGGGCAGGGAGGAGGGGGTGGAGAGAAGGGCAGGTAGCTCACCCCCGTCTCATAAATGGGGTTGTCAAACTCCGTTTCCACGGTGATCTGGCTGTAGGGGTGGGAGTACATCAGGGGCAGGCGGAGACTGGAGTAATAGCGGCATCTACAGTAGAGAGAGAGGGAAAGAGAGAGAGAGAGAGAGAGAGAGAGAGAGGTGACTTCTTTTGGGCAGGGACACTGCATGGTGGCAACACACATCTCCCACAATAAGCGTAAAATTCTGAGGTGTCCTCAATTACATTCCAAGGGCCGGAGGCTGACAGTGGGGAGCCATGGGGTGGCTCACTCCCTGACTAGTGGCTAATTGAAACGAATGCTGGTTGGTGAGTGAAGGTGACAGCCTTAACAGACACCTCGCCCTGGCTCTGTGGCACCACCACCTTCTACTGATGACTCTGTTCAACCCAGAGATACAGCTGCTTATCCCAGGGGTGCAGCCCTCGGGTCGTGGGCTCCCCAGCTAGGCTTAATGCCACCTCTTTTCCCTGCAGCCCAGGAAGGTCCAAAGTGACAAAGGGAAAAATGGACGCTTTCCTGTCTCAAGTTCTTGTTTTAAGAAAATTCTCTCAGCACTGACTTTTTAGTTGCTCCTTAGCCGTGCTGTTGGTGGCTCTGGGGACTTGTTCCATGACCTGCCCCTCGAACTCCAGGTGGAGACCACGAGGCTCCCGGAGGTGATCGGCTCAGCTCTTGGCTGGCGCTGGCTGTCTGGTGATGGAGGGGGTAGCGCCCTACCTTGTGATGTAAATGTAGGCTCCTCCCAGCAGTAAGGAGATGATGAGGACCGGGATGAAGATGGCCAAGGCCATGTTTCCTCCTTCCAAAGATGACTCTGCTGCCGCTTCTGCTACTGAACACACAAACCAGTGAGGTCTGCATTGCGCACGCGCGCCGCCCCCACGGTGACCTGGATCTCGGCTCTTGGCAGGCCGAGCACCTGTGCACCTGCTTTGAAAAGCCAGCATCACTGAGCCTTGCAGAGGGGTGCCTCAGTCACAAGGAAGGCGAGAGGAAGGCAGAGACTAGAGTCCAAAGTTGGTGGTGTGCCAGAAGGGGGCCCAGGCTGCACCTCAGGCAGAACAACAGCCTTAGGGGTCAGTGAGAATGACATGGTTTAAATCTTGGACACTCCACTTCCGTCTGGTACAGCAGAAATCTAACTCAAGTGAGGTCTTGGGGGAGAATCCCAAAACAATAGTAGCTGGGAAGGGAGACTCGCTGGATGTGTCCCAGGAAGTCAAAAGCAGACCTGCATCTGACACCGGGACACAGGAGCGAAGGACAAACACTGACCCTTTGTCCACCAGGTTGTTAGTGGGGTTCCCAAATGTGGCTGCTTATCCCTGGGGGAAGGGGACAGTCCCTCCCAGTTCACTCAGTCCGATTCCAGTGCAGGACTGGGCTTGGAGCAGCCGGGACGGCTCTCAGTGTGGCACACTCTGAGGGCACCAGGCCTGGAAGGATTCCGTGTTGAGTTTCGGAAGCCCACACTGCGCAGGCTCAAGCTGCGCTCTCAGCTTCAACCTGGTCATGGTGAGCACTAGGGTAGGTGTTTTGGGGGCAGAAGGATGGGTGAGGGGACAGACTTCCTCGGCATAGCTTCAAAGGAAGCTAACATCTCTTCTAGCAAGTTGGTCCCCAACAGCATTCCTCTGCTAGCTCCGTGGCCATGTCTAAGCCAAGCTTAGCTCTGTGACAATCTAGAAGCTATTAATTGCCATTCCATGAAGTCAAAAACAAAACAACAGCAACAAATAAAACCAATCCTGATGCTGGCAAGAAATGCAGAAGTGCAAAACATTGCAATGGCGCGCATGGGCTCTGGGCAGCCCCAGTCCTTCCAGGGTTCACTTGTTGGCCAAAGGAAAGAATAGGGGTGCTCGGCTGAGCCCATCACAAAGCTCCCCCTGCTTTGTTTTCCAGGTGGAGGGCGTGCTCCAGGCTCTGCCTTTTTTGCTGACTCCACCTGTTCAGTGGGACTGCCTTTTGTTGCGAGAAACAGCTATTAACAAAATGCAGTTTATGCATTCTCAGACTCTGCGTGAATTCTCTGCTGCTAGACGGCTGAACTCAGCTTCCAAAATCATAATAAAAAGACTGCCTTTATGGGCCGAAACTTAGAAAAGGAAGCAATTCATGGCGTAATTTTTCTGACATCACAGTCCCGGTCTGTAACCTTGTCCCAAACGGAAAGGAGTTGACTCAAGATGCAGAACCTTTCCCGTATGGAGGCCATGGGAAGGGAGAGGATCAGAAACCACAGAAAAACGCCACAGGAAACTGCCGGGCAGCTTTCTAATGTCTGTTCCCTGTGCTTCAATTTCACTTAATGAAAGAGAGAGCAAGAAGTGTGTGGGAGGAGGCCAGGAGATGACTTGGGGTGGGTAAGAAAAAGTCTTGGGGGAGAACGCATCAGTGCCACTCCCAGGGCTGTGCATGGTCAGGTCACTGCCATCCCTAGATCTGGTTTCCCCAGAGCGGCGTGGTGTGAAAGCTTCGTGACAGGGCCTCAGGTGCCCAGTTAGCTTTCTTTCCCTCCTTGTCTTCAAGCCTGTATTGGCTGTCTAAATTCTGTTCGGGTTCCACTGAGAACCTTGGAGGCACAAGTCTAGATGCTGCTTTTTTCGCAATACCGCTTGATCTGAAATTCTCGCTGACAGTGTGGGGAATCGGAAGGCCGTTTCTTTTTTTATTTAAGCACCTAAATAAAGCTATTCAAGGACCTGCCTTTGCTTTAAGCTTGAATTATTGGCTTCCTTCTCTCCCCCACTCCCCTTCTGCTCCAATTCTGGGATAGAACTCACCTTCTAAAGCATGTTCAAAATTGTCTTGATTAACTGTAAGAGAAATCAGGAATCATTGGTCAGCGTCAAAAGAACTTACTCATTTCACGTGGAACCAGGGCCCAAGGGTCCATGGCCAATGCCCAGGCCCCGCTTTGCATCTCGGGCTACCCCGGGTAGGTTTTCTTCTTGAGTTCCCCAGAGAGGAGCAGACGAATAAGAAATCCACAAAATCAGTAATAGTAGCAGCTCATCCTTCGTCACGGATCCCTCGCCACGCCAAGAGCTCTCCTAGCTGCTGCTCGTTCAATGCTCACAGCAGCCTTCCTGACGGCTTGCCCAAGAGCTAACAGAAGTTCGGAGAGGCCAAGCAACTTCTAAGAGATGCAAGTAGGATTGCAACAGGGCTGGCTAGACTGTCTCCTCTTCTGCCCCTACAAGGCTGGAGTCATCTGAGCATGCTCTTGGAGGACAAAGCGCTCCTGGAGGGCGAGGCTCAAGACTCACACAGCAGCCAGCCACAGTGGAGATAGAACTCGACTGCACTGCCATGCACACGTCACTCATGATGGTTACGATGTGGGACTTGCCCATGGACGACAGACATTCACGGGGATCTTTGACGTCTGGTTCTTTCCCAGGCCAGCGATGTGTCATCTGGTTTTCCTTCACGGTGCTGGCCAGTGGCAGCCTGCCCAGTGACCATGAAGGAAGCCACCGACACTGCACTGTGCACTCTGCTGCTACGCTGGGGACTTGGGGTGGGAATACGACCTGCATCTTCCACTTTCAATATTTTCATTTCGTGTTGAGATTTGGCATGAAGGCACCCCCGGGTCAGCGAGGAACATCTGTACCTAATGATGTTAAACCTTTAGGAGTTTTATTCCACATGTATTTGGCTAGCCTGTGGACTCGTGGACAGTGATATTTACAAATATCTACCCCTAGTTGAAGAGCTCTTGGTGTTCAGGAGGATGGGGGCTGCTTCCCACCCATGTCATCGTGGCAGTTGGAAATACATGCGCAAGGACAAGGGACACAAAAACCCAACAGAGCGGTGAGCGCTGAGTACAGGCAGAGGTTAAGATCCTGGTGGGGTCCCTGTATACCACATCACAGTTCCCAAGTTCAAGTCCTGGCCCTGCTCCTGACTTTCTCTCCCTGGTAATGTGCACCCCGGGAGGCAGTGGTGATGAGTAAACTGATGGGGCCTCTGTCACCCATTGGGAACATTTGGGTTGAGCTTCCAGCTCCCAGATCCGGGCTGTGGCTGGCATCTGGGCAATGAACCAGTGGTAGGCTGTCTCAACCTGATATCCCTCGTGGGTGGAAGGGGCCACCCAAGGACTTGGGCCTCCTCAGGAGCATTAGCAGGGAGCTGGATAGGAAGTGGTATAGCTGAGACTTGAACCAGCGCTCCAACATGGGCTGCTGGTGTTACAGGGAGTGGGTCAACCTGGTGTGCCAAAGGGCCTGCCCCTGAGTGTTTTCTTATGGCGGCAGCTCATGCCCTAATGGACAGCACACCAACCACCACGTGTGCGGGAGCGTGTTCCGCAGCTCAGACAGATGTACAAAGCTCACTGTCATGGGTGAATGCATCGAAGAGGGTGGTGATGAGGGGTGGAGCCTGGTGGGAAGGATGGGAGGGTCTTAGGGCACTGAGGATGCTCTCCCTAGCAGGAGGTTCTCCAGAGGGCGTGGGACAGGAGCCCAGCCAGTCTGACTCATACCAGGAGAATTTCTGTGCAGAGAGAGTGGACCAGGATGCCCATGCTTGAACCTGAAACTGTAAACTGTGCTCCAAGGTGAGATTCTGAGGGCACTTCATCAAAACACTGAATAACAAAGCATCCTTGATTTCATGACAGACAGCTGGCCCAGAGCCCCAGCAAGCCAGCCCTCTGACACATACCCAACCCAGAGCCCCAGAGAGCCAGCCCTCTAACACACAGCCAGCCCAGAGCCCTGGCAAGCTGCCCCCCCCAACACACAGCCAGCCCAGAGCCCCAGAGAGCCAGCCCTCTGACACACAGCCAGCCCAGAGCCCCAGCAAGCCAGCCCTCTGACACACAGCCAGCCCAGAGCCCTGCAAGCGCACCCCCTCACCACAGCAGCCAGCCCTGCAGCTGCCCCCCCAACACACAGCCAGCCCAGAGCCCCAGAGAACCAGCCCCCTGACACACAGCCAGCCCAGAGCCTCAGTGAGCCGGTCCCCTGCCTTCCTACCCTGGGAGTGCACATCTTTACCTTTGCAAACAGGCAGCGGCCCGTTCCAGTGGGACGGCTGCCCCAGGATGCAGCGGATGGTCACTTCGCCCATCAGCTCAAAGCCCTCGTAGCACATGAAGGTGAGGGACTCCCCTGGCAGGTAGAGGCGCTTGTACAGGATCTGGTATCCATTTTCAGGTAAGCCCGGGTTGTCGCAGGCCAGAGACTCCTCGGCTGAAATACAAAGGCACGGTGGGTTCCGATGGAGCCTCCTCCCCCAGGACCTCTCCCTCCCCACAGCCCTGGCTTCTCCACAGTGCTCCGTTCATCTCCCCACCTTCTCTGGAACCGTCTCCTGCTTCCTAGGTCCACACGAACCTCTCCCTCTATGATACAGACGTTGGCATGTGGGCATGGTGGGATACGCTAGACCTCAGAGTCTGGGCGCTGCTGTTTGTTAGCTGTGTGTCCTCCAGCAGGCAGCACCCCCTCTCCAAGCGTGCTTGCCCACCGGCCCCATGAGAACACCCCTATAAATGTCACAGGAATTTGGGAGGGAAGATCAGATCACGGATTCAAAACACATAGTATGCTCCTGATGTGATGGCGGCTGCAGGTGTTTAACGCTCAAAAACTTTTTCTCGTTTCTCATCTGGCACCTGACCCACCCATCCAGTGTGGCCAGGTCTTGTCTTTCAATCCCAAATCCTTTTTCCTTTCTTTTTTCCTCTTCCAGGAAGAATTCTGGGAAGCCTCCTGGGCCATCATCAGGGCTTCCAGTCTTCCCTTCCTCCGTCCCAGTGCTACCTACACTGCACTTTGTTGGGTTGCTTATCGGCTCTCCCCCAACCTGGGCAGGTAGGCTAGAGGCTCAGGGACTGGGATACAGTGAGAGGGCAGGAGGAGGCGCAGGCTGATGAGCCACACTGCCCTCTTGTGGCCTCTCTGCTCCACCTGGTGACCTAAGACTTCTTGCTCTAAAGCCTTGAGAAAGATTACAATTTAGTCATTTTGAGACAGGTGTTTGTCACAGCCTGGAAGAGGCTGCCGGGCGGGCGATGCTGTTGTTTTGTTTTTAAAGATTTATTGATTTTTGTTGGAAAGGCAGATTTACAGAGAGAAGGAGAGACAGAAAGAAGAATTTTCCATTTTTCTAGTTCACTCCTCAAATGGTCACAATGACCGGAACTGAGCCAATTCAAAACCAGGAGCCAGGAGCTTCTTCTGGGTCTCCCACGCAGGTGCAGGGTCCCAAGGCTTTGGGCCGTCCTCCACTGCTTTCCCAGGCCACAAGCAGGGAGCTGGATGGGAAGTGGAGCAGCCAGGACACGAACTGATGCCATATGGGATGCAGTGCTTGGAGGTGGAGGATTAGCCAGTTGAGCCAATGTGCTGGCCATATTGGTGCTGTTTCTTGGGGGTTTCTTGGGGGGCACTGGCATACCCCATGCCTTGCCTTCAGCCAATGGAATGTGGTGTCAGAGATGGGATGTCCCTTCCACAGCGTGACACACTATCGCTACTTGTGCCTGGCTGCACCTCAGCTTGGGTGAAGGCATTGGCCACGCCGCTGCGTGCTGGCTTAGGCCACGCGTAAAGGAAGAGAGGCTGAGCTCGTAGTGACAACAGCCAGGAAGGAGGGACTGCATCTTACAAACAGGACTGCTTGTGTGTGAGCCTGCAGGGGAATCTTTTCCAGCCCCAGCCCCAGTCTGTCCGCTGGGGAGCTGGGAACTGCAGCAGCCTGGGCAGACATGCGCAGACTCCGGCCCACACGTATTTTCTGTCGTGTCTAGCCCCGCATGGTGACTTTCAGAAGCTTCCCGTTCCAGATTCGTCTCCTAGGGCTGAACAGCCTTTGTCGTCTGCAGAGTCACGTCTGCCACCTGCGTGGTTCTTTTTCTTTCCTGAATTTTCATGCCAGGAATCCCAGGATTTGCTCGGCACAACGCCCGGCTCCCTGGAAGCAGCCATGTCTCCCCACACTGAGTGCATCTTAAGCAAATGGCTAGGTGCTTGGCCTTAGTGGGGGACCAGGAAGTGATCTGCCCACCCTCTTCCCCTGTCTGAGGCCGCGGTGCCATAGCCCCTGCCCCCCCAGTGTGTCACACAGAGCGTCTGTAAGAATGGTTCTAGAGCACTCAGCTCCATAGCTGCTCAATGGGACCCTGTTGGATGGGGTCGCGTTTGTGGGCACATGGCTCTTCTAGGCTGTGAAGTGTCTCCAGAGAACCTGTGCGGTCCCTGCTTGAGCGCAAACCCTCCGTGCTTGGCTGTTTAGACCGTGGGTTTAAGGAAGGAAGACAAGAGGAGGGAGATACCTGTCTGTGCTTAAAATGAATGTGTTTTTTATTTATTTGGAAGATAGAGTGATACAGAGCTAGAGGAGAGAGAGAAAAAAGACGAGAGAGAGAGAGAGAGAGAGAGAGAGAGCCATCTCTTTCATCTGCTAGCTCACTCCCTAAATGGCTGCAATGGCCAGGGCTGGGCCAGGCTGAAGCTCGGAGGTTGCAACTCCATCTGGGTCTCCCACGCGCGTGCAGGGGCCCAAGCACTAGGGCCAATCTTCCACTGCTTTCCCAGCTGCGTTAGGAGGGAGCTGGATCGGAAGTGGAACAGCTGGGACTTGAACTGGCGCTTGGGATGCTGCTGTCGAGGTTAAAGGCATTTCAGTGGCAAGTGGGGGTCGTCTGCTTCTGTCCACTGACACCCAGCCAGTGCAGGAGTCAGCCTGGGAGTCGGTCCCGAGGCCCTTGTGTGGCTGTAACAGCACAGCACTTGGTAGGTGCAGCCTGTAGGCAGTCCCTGCTCAGGGAGTGCTTCCGGTGGACCCAGCAGTGTGCCCAGCAGGGAGCATGGCATCACAGCTGCCCTCCACGGCTTCTGGGGCCAGCACAGGAGGAAATGGATACTGGAACTAATGTGTTGGTGCTGTTAACAGCGTGAACCTTGGGAGACTTCTCTCTGGGGGGAGAAGAGACAGGTGCTGTGTCTGGGAACCAGCAAGAGACTGCTCGCCCTGCAGGCGAGGCGTGGACTTACAGGAGGGGAGCTGTGCATGGCTCAAGTTTGGGGACATGCGATTATAGGAAAACTGCTTGGGTTTCAGAAATGATTGACCACAATGGCCAGGGTTGGGCCAGGCTGAAGTCAGGAGCTTCATCCAGGTCTCCCATCTGGGTGGCTAGGGCTCAAGCACGTGGGCCATCCTCTGCTGCTTTGCCAGGCAGGTAAGCAGGGAGCTGGATGGAAAGTGGAGCAGCCTGGACTGGAACAGGTGTCCAAGAGGTGATTTCACCATCACAGGCTGCAGCGTAATTTGCTGTGCCGCATCGCCCAGACCCCAATGAGCTTTCAATTTTTCTTAGCTAAACCAAGCCAGTGCTCCACCAGGTCCCCCCATCAGCCGCAGTGTGGTGTCTCCAGGGATGCGTGGGTATCTCTATGGGAGTTACCGGGTCCCACACTTGTGCAGTGTATGAACTCTGCGTCCAGCACTTGTCTCCTTCCAACCCTGTGGCGAGGACGGCTTCCTCCTTCTGGCATCAGCCCCTAAGAAGTAATCCCAAGAAATCCAAGCGTGCCACTTGCAGCGGTACCATCTGACCAGCAGGTGGCAGTGGCACCTTAAAAATTCCCATCCCTTTAGAATTTTCTTTCACGAATACAGTCATGTACATGACCAATAATGAGAGCGCCTGTTACATACATTTCAGACATTGTCTTTCAAAAAAAAAATTTCTTTATTTTTATTGGAAAGGCAGATATACAGAGAGAAAGAGATGCAGGTAGGAAGATCTTCCATCCATTGATTCACTCTCTTAGTGGCTGCAACGGCCAGAGGCGAGCTGATCCGAAGCCAGGAGCTCCCTTGGGGTCTTGCATGTGGGTGCAGCACCCCAAGAACTTAGGGCATCCTCCGCTGCTTTCCCAGCCACGTTAGCAGAGAGCTGAATGGGAAACGGAGCAGCCAGAACTCCAACCAATACCCATATGGGATACAGGCACCAAAGGTGGGGACTCTAACTGCAACAAAGGACCCATCTACATTGAAAATGATTTGTTTATTTGTCGAGATCGGGCGCGTTCAGGGTGGTATGGCCGTAGACTGATTATTTATTTGAAATGCAGAGTTACAGAGAGAAAGTTTTTTTTTTGTTTGTTTGTTTTGCTTTTTGTTTTTTCCATCTATGTTTTTCTTCCCACATGGCTGCAGTAGCTGAGGCTGGGTGAACTCCAGCCAGGTCTCCCACCCATCGTGGGCAGCAGGGACCCACGCTCTTAGGCCATTTTCTGCTGTTTTCTGGGTTTCATGATCGAGGAGCTGGATCAGAAGCAGAGCACAGCTGGGACTTGAACCAGTGTCGCTGCGGCAAGCGGCGGTTTAACTCGCTGTAAACTGCATCGCTGGCTGCCATCACCCTCACGTTCCATGAAAGAGAACGGAGCTCAGACATGCTGTGTGACCGGCAAGGGTCACAGACACGCTGGTCAGCCGAGGGGACACGATGCTCTCAGTCCACTGCGCCGTGTGGTCATCTCATGAGGTTCTGGCGGAGTTAACTGGCGAACCGTGGCACAAGAAGGAAGTGGCTGAGCTGTGACTCCCATTCAAGCTCCTCTGGCTCTAACTCGGGGTGATCCCCTGGCCAGCACCCTGCCAGCACCCTGGGCAGGAGAAGATGCCCATGTGGCGCCCTCTCGTGGCAGAAACCAGGTCTGTGCAGCATCAGCACCCTCTGGTGGCAGAAGAGCGACATGGCCAGCACCCTGGGCAAGAGAAGAGGTCTGTGTAGCATCAGCACCCTCTGGTGGCAGAAGAGCGACATGACTCGTGGACCCAGTTCGCACTCAAGCGCCAGAATGGGCTCTATGTCCCATGGGGAGTCACTTTCCCTCTCTGGGCTCCAATTCTCAAGTCAGCGGGCTGGACCAGGTGAACCCCACGTTCGGCCATGTGTTCACTCAGGACGGTCACACTTGGCGCTGGGTCATTCCCTGGGCTGCTGGCAGTCCTGGCTGTTGCAGGCTTTTGTGGAGTGGACCCATGGATGGGAAGCAGCCTGGGGTGCCTCTCGCTCAATGTGGCCACAGCATGCGAGTTCCTCCCCAGGTTCCTGGGAGCTCAGCGAGTGTTCCAGCCCGCAGCTCTGCTGGTGAACTCATTAGCATGGGTGTCGGGGAAGCTGTCACCGCTCAGCCCAGCAGGTGCAGTGCTGAGATCTCGGGGAAAGGCGATGAAAGTCTGGGTCGCTAGAAGGAAAGTGGACTCGTACTTAACTCCTTGTGGAGGCCCTGGACTGAACGACATTCAGGTGCAAGGGTTCCTGTCTCCCGCCATGCCCCGGGACACCTCGGCTCCTTGTCGGCCACAAGGCCATCACTGGGGGCTGAACCAGTGGAGCCCGTTCTGATCTTGAACTATGACCCTCCAGCACCAGGATTCAAAACAAACTTCTCTGTTATTTGCATTGGGTGCAGGGTGCATGTACAGCAAACTGACTCTAATTTTTCCTTTCTTTCCTCCAAGTTGAATTCTTAGTTCTCCAGCAGAAGCAAGACCTTGCAATAGCTTCTGGAACTTGAGGCCATGCCCCACAGAGAGCTGTTGGTGCCACACTTATTTTATGCTATCAACGCAGATGGCAGCTTTGAAGACCCCACTGAAGTGGGATGTTCTGATGCTTCTATGTGAACTCAGCTTTCTTTAAGACATTGCCAGGAACTTGGTCACAGAGACTCTGAGGATGCTTCTAAAGTGATCTGAGTCTGCATCTGGCTCCTCTGTTAGCTAGGTATCCCACTGTTAGCTAGCTGTTCCAATGCTAACTAGCTGTTCCATCACTGATTAGCTGTCCCAACATTAGCTGGCTGTTCCACCATTAACAAGTTGTCCCACCATTAACGAGGTATCCCAGTGTTAGCTAGCTGCCTGTTACCCAAATGTCCCACTGTTCTCCAGGTGTCCTATTGTTAACCAGCTGTCCCACTGTTCTGCTCTTAGCTAGCCGGGCCCCTGGCAAGTTAGCAGTGCTCGCTAGCTGTGTGGTAGGGGGCTCCCTTGAACACGAGCATCCTTACACCAACACGAACTGGATAGCACCATCCCGCCGGGGCTGCTGACCAACGAGAGGGACAGTTGGTAGAGGACTTGTGCAGTACCCAAGTAACTTGCCATGGATACTGTAGTGCAAGTCTCTCGAGTGGTGTCAGTCACTGTCATGTGGTAACACCCATGAAGAAAGCCCCTCCCATGCAGAAAGCCTTTGCCCACCCTGGTGCACCTCTGTGCCACGCCCACAAGCAGGACTCACAGACACAGTGAGGCAGCCGAGACGTCCAGATGGGAGTCCCGGTTTCCCGGCTGTAGCAGGTGAGGAGAGAGCTGCCTTCGAGCACGAAGCCGGGGTTGCAGGTGTATTGGATGGTGGTGCCCACCAGCAGCACGGGATCCGAAATCAAGCGGGTGGAGTGGTCCACCTCTCCTGGGTCGGTGCAATACATGACTGCGAGGAGAGAATCAGAGACCCAGAATCAGAACTGATGTGGACTCAGACTAAGACGTGGAGTCAGACTGAGACACAAATCAGACCGTGACACGCAATCAGAACGCAAGCTGATGACACGGGATCAGACCACAGACACGGGATCAGACCACGGACACGGGATCAGACCATGGACACAGGATCAACCACGGACACGGAATCAGACCACAGACACGGAATCAGACCACGGACACGGGATCAGACCACGGACACGGGATCAGACCATGGACACGGGATCAGACCACATAGCATCAGAATGATCATCACAGGTTTGCCACAGCAGGACCTGAGTTTCCCTTGGAGAGACAATATGTCTTTTGTTTATCCAGTGTGGCAGCAATAATTTAAATTTAATTCTTCCTTTGGGGATTGGCCCAAGAATTTGCACCAGACTACAGAGGCCTGTGTGTAAGGTTGCACACTGCACCAATATTCACAATATTTTTTTTTTAAAAAAAGGAAAGAAAGCATTCCAACAAGAAAGAGTTCCCTAGGGGACAACCATCTGCTAACCCTGGGATCCCCACTCCAGAGGGGAGAGGGAAGGGGCCCCACTGCTTTCCTTGCAGTGCTTATGTTAGACTACAGGAAAATAGGCATTCGTTACCTTTTAATTAGAAAGTCAATACAGATAAGAGGAAAACAATAAGCCAATTAAAAAAGAATGAAGTGGATAAATGTGTGATATGAAAAATATCCGGATTCCTGAGTCGGGAAAAAAGCAGTCTCAAGGGAGTTTTCATAAATAGATCCCTTTATGGTACAATACGCGCCATCTCCAAGCCAACTCATTCTCTGTGTGTCCCCAAACATCCGTACAGGCAACACAGACACACTCACATCCACAAGCATTTGTTCTAAGGTGAGGCTGAGCTAGGAGTCTGCATGTTTTTAGATGCCGAGAGGGTCATTTAGCCAATGGAAAGCATCAAGAGTGACCAGCGATTTCTCGGCCAAGGGATTCCATTGTCCCCGGGGTTTCTGCTGGCCTCACTTGGATGTAAACTGGAGCAAGGAGCCAGTGAGAGAATGGTAAGCACCTCTATGCAGCAAAGACCTAATGGACCCGTTGCAAGTTTGTTTGGTCTCATCTGGGCTTTCCCTGAGGGAGGAAATTTTCTAGCAGAACTAGCTAATGCTTCTGCCAGGCCCTTAAGATGCTGTAAGGATGACTATGATGCAGGGCAGTTGAGAGAGCCACAGTTGAGGTTTAGGTCTCCCTGGTCCTGTGTCCCATCATGCTTCACACACATGCCCACACATGAGGGAGCTTTGTCAAGTTTGTGCAAAAGTGGGATGAAAAGATAAGTTTATATCAGTGTATAAAAAAGTGTACGTCTCTACACCTCCTAAGACTTCAGGAAGTATGGAAGCTGCATATTCTGAAAAAAAAAAAAAACATCTTGGGAAGTGGGATCAGCAGATGTGTTTATGTTGATGCCAGAAATCTTGAAACTTATGCACATTTTTTTTTCACAATTCACATTCCTCATAAACGTTTGGAAGACCACTCTATGGATATAAATATTCATGTGTATATTCGTATATGTATAATGTATATATATGGCACCAACATAAAGTTACCTTTTTAGAAAAGCATTGACTTATTTGAAATGCAGAATGAGAGAGAGAGAGGAGAGAGAGAGAGAGAGAGAGAGAGAGAGAGAGAGAGAGAGAGAGAGAGAGAACGGTTTCCATTTGAAGATTGACTCCCCAGATGGCCAGGTGTAGACCAGGCTGCACTCAGAGCCTGGAGCTCCTTCCAAGTCTCCCACATTGGTGGCAGAGGACCATGACTTGGGTGAGCTTCCATTTCCTTCACAGGAGCATTAGAAGGAAGCTGGATGGGAAGTGGGGCAGCCAGGACTTAAACCAGCACTAGCATATGGGGTGTGGGTGTCACAAGTAACCGCTTCACCTACTGCACCCCAATGCAGGACCCATCTTCCAGCAACCCTTCTGACACCCCTGTGGACAGTTGGGTAGCCAGTGCGATGGCTCTTGAGAAGGTTCTTTTGAGTCTCCTCTGTTTAGAACTGGTGCTCTTGGACGTGGTAAGCTTGGTGGTGGGGACAGCAGGTGACCTTCACGGCCTTTCCCCAACAGCCTCTTTCTTGGCGCACGCTTCCTGGTTCTTAGTGTGCAATTGATGAGGCATGTCAGCATGCACAGGTGTCTGCTCAAGCTTTCCCCTGGATCCCCAGCTGCAGCTCAAGGACCAACCACTTGATGGAGGTGGGATAGGAGAGGCTGACGAGGCCACTTCCAAATATAGTTCCCAGCCCAACTGTTGCAGCCTCAGCCTGAAAACCAGAAGCACCTTGTAATCTACTGCTTTCAAGGACACCACACTTGGCCATTGCCCTGTGTCAGATCTGCACCCCTAGGTGGGACCGGCACAGTGAGCAGAAGGAAGGAAGCAGGAGTCCGGGATGGTGACAGCCTATGAGGTCAGCTGACATAAGAATAGGGGTGTATTAACTTCGGCTGCAAGAACTGGCTTAGATTCATTTTGCTTGATTGTTACAGGATGTCCAAGACCTGAATCGGAATGTTATTTTCACACAGACTCCCTACAAGGGCGCTTCGACAAGTTCAGGGCTCATGCACGTCATTATTTTATGTATTTAAAAAGGAAGTTATTGAAAAGGTAGACAGAGATCTCTTTGCCAGTTTTCACTCCCAAAGGCTTGCAGCAGCTGGGGGTGCTGAGGTCAGGCTTGAAACCAAGAGTCAGGAGCTCATTCCAAGTCCCCCCCCCACACCCTCTCCCATGGGTGGCAAGGAACCCAGCGCCTCAGCCATCTCTACTGTCATCCGAGGTGTGCCTTAACAGGAAGTTGGGCCTGGGAGCAGAGCCTGGGCTGAGATGCTGGCCTTCCAATGGGTGATGAGGGTGTTCCCTGTGGAATTTTAACTGTTAAGCCAGCTTCCTGCCTGTACTCTCACAGTTTATTTTTCATGCGTCTTTGGTATACCTTCTGGTACAGCCTTCTGGTATACCCAAGCAGCATGGGACGCACCGTTCCCTGCTGGCTCAGTCCACTCATTTACTTTCTCTTAGCAGGCTGCACCAGGGGCTGCAACGTGGCATTGGGGAGCACTCCCTGAGGCATGGGGGTGAGTGGGTAAGGAGGGAGGCCAGATTCGACATCACACAGTTTCCCTACCTCTGTGCAAGAACATCCCCCCCCCACCTCCGTCGGGAGTGGGGGAGGAGGGCCAGGAATTTACCCAGCAGTGCCAAGGGGTAGCAGAAGAAGAGAGCTTTCTTACTTTTCTCGCAGAACGGGGGGTCGCTGCTCCAGCTGAGGTCCCACTGGCAGGTGAGCGTGTCACTCCCCACGATGTCGTAGCCCGGGTCACACTGGTAGGTGATCCTGGCACCCCTCACCAACTCCGTGTGGGACGTGGTCTTCCAGCCGTTCTGGATCTCGGGCAGATCTGAGCACGAGTCGTTTCTTGACACCTCTTTAAGACAAGAGTATCACCCTTAGGTGGGGAGGTGGCCTTTGACTATGGAGCTCTTAGGAAGCGGAGAAGACAAAAGCTGCGAGGGGCAAAGGACCCCCTTTCCCCCACCAACACACACACACACACACACACACACACACACACACACATCACTTCAATGGCAGTCTCTCCTGCAGTGTGACTTTCCAATGACCTGTTCTCATGGTGTTTACCAAACCCTCCCTTGTTTCAATAAAGCCAGTATACACCATGGAGTCAGATGGAACCCAAGTTCAGCAGCTATGTGAACCAAGAGACTGCTGTGTCTTTCTTCTCTCTTGAAGAACAGTTCCCTCACTGGCTTATTCTTTTTTCTTTTCTTTAAGTTACTAAATTATTTTGCAAGTTGGAGTTACAGAGAGCAAGGGAGAGACAGAGAGATCTTCTGTGTATTGGTTCACTGACCCCCAAAGGCAAGGTGCCAGGCTGGGCTGGACTGGGAAGAAACCAGGAGACAGGAGCTTCCTCCAGGTTTTCCACGTGGGTGCCAGGGGCCAAAACAAAACACCAAATGAACAAACAAACAAACAAACAAAAAACACGTGGGCCACCTTCTACTGCTTTCCTCAGGCCATTAAGAGGGAGTATAGCAGCTGGAATACAAGCTGGCTTCTTAGGCGAAGTCTAGATCTGTTGGCATCCTATATGGGCATCGGTTCGTGTCCCGGCTGCTCCACTTCCCTCCCAGCTCGCTGCTTGTGGCCTGGGAAAGCAATGGAAGATGGCCCAAAGCCTTGGGACCCTGCACCTGCATGGGAGACCCAGAAGAAGCTCCTGGTTCCTGGTTTCGGATTAGCTCAGCTCCAGCCATTTCAGCCATTTGGGTAGCAATAAATAACTAGCACTCCAGAACTCCACCTGTGCCCTCACGTGGGTAGCAGGGACTTGAGTTTTTGAGACATCACCTGCTGGCTGCTAGGATTAGAAGCAGACTAGCCAAGACTTGAATTGGCCACGATAGCTACCCCAGACATGCGTTTTTTGTTTTTTGTTTTAGATGAATTGTTGGCATATTCTTTCAATCAAACTGCATATCCTTAGTGACTAATATACCCTGTCCAGAAAGTGCTAACCCACCACTGATCACTGCAGAGACTTCTTCTGATACAGCTCTGATAGCCTCCGACCAAGCCCCTTGTTGCTAAGGGAATCAATCAGAACACACGCTTACAATCCCTGCCTCGGAGTGCTCGCTGCGCAGACTCGGGAAAGAGAGCTAATTATGTTGAGTAATTAATTTGCTGTGGCAACGTGCTTCTGGGGCCAGCACAGCCCCTCCGCCGTCTGCAGGGGAGTCCTTCTGAGAAGCCAGCGATGGTTTTTCTGGGAGCTCATCGAAATTTTATTTGGGGAAAGGAGACCTCCTGGGTGTCTGCAGGAAGAAAGGGACAGGCAAATGGCTCCTCGACTTGCTTGGTGGGGGAAATGAAAGCCTCTATTTTTAGACCTTCGGGGGAAAAAAAAATCAGCCAAGCCCTGGATGTGGGACACAGCTGCCAACACACGCACTGAGGATGAAGGAGAAGAAATGGGGACGAGGCGAGACAAAAGTGGTGCTTGTCGGGCTCTTCAGGGCGAGAGCTCATGGCCTCGCAGCCCACTAGGGCTTCCGGTGTCTGTGTCTGTTGTGGCATTCTCAACATTGGAGATTACTCGACTGTGGCCACGGCACAGCACAGCCTTGTGCTATGTCTTGGCCCTGCTGCTTACTGACTGGGTGGCCTTGGCTGAGTCCCTTCCTGTTTTGTCAGTTCCCAGACTGTGGCAGAGGCCCTGATTTGGAAGTCGGCATGTTGCCAGGCACCCTAGGTGGAAGTTCTGGAACTGTCTCTCCCTCGGGGATGTCTTTAGGTTTTGCTGAGAAGAAACTGAGCTGGGAGGTAGAAGACTCCTCTGTAGTCTTCTGTAAGCCAGACAACGCAGGAGGCTATCCCTCAAGACGAAGGGCTCTGCCGGGCAAAGAGCAGAGACCTGCAGGAAGCAGCAGCGATACCACTACGGAGATATTTAGCAGCACAATCAAGGAGAAGGAGGCCCCCGAGAAACATCAAAAAGGAAGATCAATACTTGTGTTAGTATCTTCGCAAGGTGGATATGTAGCAGGCAACTATGAGTAATGCTCACCATCCAGAAAGAACAGTGCTGTGTCCTCAGTCACACAGGCCCAAGGCTTCCCAGGACAGCTCAGGGTCAGGGCAGCGGCTTGGTGTTAGACATCAAGAGTGGTACTGGGAGGACAGGTTCTATCAGATAGCAGTGGGCAAATCAAAGGCGTGGGCTCTTGCTCCAGTTGGAGGGTGATGGTGGCGGTGAGGAGTGGGTGGAGCCTGTTGGGTGAATCCACCCACTCCCCGCTGACCATCTTACGAGCCAGCCTGGTTCCCGGGAAGCACGAGCATCTCCCCTCATTGCTGGCTGAACCCTGCCCACTAGAATCCTCAAAGTGCAGCTCGCACCGCACCCATTCTGAACATCATAAGAAATTAGGTCTTCATTGTCTCCCTGAGTTTCCTAGGTTCTCTGTTACTGCCAAGAACACTGGGGGTGAAGTGACCTTAGAGTCGGGAGTAAAGAATTCAAATTGTTGGAGTCGGCCCAGTGGTGTAGCATGCTAATCCTCTGCCTGCTACTGCTGGCATCCCCAAAATGGGTGTCGGCTCGATTTCTGGCTGCTGTACCTTCAGTCCAGCTCTCTTCATATGGCCTGGGATCCTGGTGTGTGCAAGGTGAGGACTACTGTGTTGGGCTGGGCCTTCTGCTCATTTTAAAACAAAGCAAGAACAAACTAAAAGGAACAGTATCCACCATGGAGTTCCAGCCAATTGCACCTTTGACCATCTGATACTCTTAATTCTCTCTCTCTCTCGCTGTCTCTCCCTTTTTCCCTCCTTCACTTCTTTCATTCACTAAGCCATTTTGGGGACCAAGCATGACAAGTGTAACATGTCTTGAATCCGAAAGTACGTGAGGTGGGAGAAAGACCTTCCATTTGATGGGACCTGCTAGGGAGAAGGGGCCAAGCTTTCGTGCAGGCAAGAGGGAGATAGGAATGCTTTGGGAAGCTGCAAATATAAGAGAGTGTGCTAACAACAGAAAATTCTAGACGACCTCAAAGGAAGACAGACAAATCTTAGAGTTAGGATGCATTATCTTAATAATCCCAATGTCAATCTTGTGGAGTAGGATTTGTTATTTCAGTTGAAAAATGGTTATTCATTGATTATTTCTGTCTGCTTGAAAAACAGCAATGGTTGGGGGGGGGGTGGCAATGATACACACGCAGAGAAAGATCTTCTATTTGCTGATTTTCTTCTAAATGCCTACCACAGCCATAGTTGGGCCAGGTCAAAGTCAGGAACCAAAAAGTCCATCTAGCTCTCCGTGTGGATGGCAGGCACCCAAGGTCTTGAGCTATTAGTGGGTTGCTGCATCAGAAATGCAGGCAGGACTCAAACTCAGGGATTTGGGTAGGGAAATGCAGGCATCTTAAACCCTATTCTCACCCAACAGATGACAAAAAGAGGGCTCAGAGAGGTTACTGATGTGTTCAAGTCACACAGCCCCTGATGACAGTACTAAGACACAACTCACACTCTTGGTAAACAGCAGGGCCGGACTCTTGCCCTTGACACAATCAAAAGAGCCATACAGCTCAAATCTTCCATACAGATATAGGTGAGGAAACCATCTATGATGGCTTGGATAGGGTTAGAGAGTTCCCCAGAGTTTCATGTGCTCCTCGGTATGCCATGTTGGGAGGTGGCGATATCTTGAAGAAGTGGAGTCTGGTAGGAGGTTACTCAGATAGAGGGGGCATCCTCCTTGGGAGGAGCTAGTAATGAGTTATTCTGGGATCCTGGTTAGTTCTTAAAGGAGACTGGCCCTGAATCCTGCCTCTTCCTGTGGTCTCTCTCTTGCACTTGCTCCCTGCAGGAGGCCATCTGTCATTGCTGGGCTGTGGTCACAATGCCCTTGCCAGAGCTGCCAGCAAGTGATACAAGAACAATCTTACATGTCCAGAGCCAGGAGCTAAACGAGTCTCTTTACACATCACCCAGCCTCGAGTGGTTTGTTCTAGCAACAGAAATTGGGACTAAAACATCACCCTAAGCTTCATCTAAACACTCCCCATTCACGCTTCCTCCAAATGGACTGGATGAGACACTTACCTATGTAGTTCATGATAAATCCTTGACCTTTTCCAAAGATGAGGCCAGCAGGGTCCGAGTGGAACTGGATGGTGAGGTCTGGCGTGGATGAGTACAGCTTTTGCGGGCCAGTGTTCCCAAGGTACTGGCCCAGGATGTGGGGCATGACCTCATCGCCGTCATAGATGGTCAAGATGTCGCTGTTACTCAAGTTCAAGCTTGGCAGGGGGAGAAGCAGAAAAAAGAACATGTTATGTGGAATATTCCATTAGCCTTCGATGGACTCTCTCAGGTGATACACACTTCCTTAAGATTTGCTGTGTGTCAGGCCACCCAGTCAAGGAAGTGAGGGTGATGTAGGTGTCAGTTGCCAACCTGAGTGGGTCATCTATGAGCCCCAGGGGTGGGGGTACCATTGGGTCCCGGGTCGCATGGCCTGAGGCTTTGGCCTGCCTGTGTGATGGGTGCTGGATCCGTAAGCCCCCAGGGTAGAGGGTCTGGCTTGGTCCAGGTCATCTGGCTCAGGTCCATGGAAAACTGGTCCTCTTCAGTGTAAAGGATGGAGTGCTGGATGGCATACCATGGTGTACATAGAAGACATGGTAGCCTCTTGGGGCCTGCAGAGGACAGCCGGTACCACAGCAGAGAATGGAGAATGGAACATATGGACAACTACTAAAGCCAAACGATGACAGCCAATATCTAGGCAATTGGAGATATAAGCTCGATAATGTCAGCCAATGGACAGTGGGAAGGATTCCCCATCCATAGATCTGTGAGATCAACAGTGTTTTGAAACTATTGTATCCACCCGGGCAGAACTCTTAGAGCATGGGTCACATGTGAGGCTGGGTTGATGTGAGGTGGCCCTTCCCCATCCTTGGGTGCTGGGATGGTTGGGAGGCTGGGTATGGCCTATCTCCTCCCTCCTTTCAGAAATGGAAAGAAGAAATAGAAAGCTTGGAAATAATGATCACACCCACTTCTCCCTAACCCTAGATCCTTCCCATCCTGATCAATTATGTAAACATCATCTAAAATAATAATAAAAAAAGATTATTGTTATTAAAAAACACGAGTGGGTCATGCTGCTCTTCCCTACAAACACAGCACACGGGTCTGTAAATGCCTGGGTGTTGAAGACTCGTTCTGGAATGGTCTTGTCTGTGTGGTAGTCATCAACGCTTTGCGTTGTAAGAAGAATCACCCACATGCCTGTTGTTAACAACCATTTCTTGGGTGACGGCCAGAGGTAGCATTTGGACACCTTGTCGCTTGTGACCAGATTTCGTCATCCCCTGATGCAAAACTTGCTGACACGTTGCTAATTGCAACTTGCTTTTCTCCGTGGGGGAAACGGTATTCCCACCCAACAAGTGGCAAATCCTTCCTCATGACTTGAGCTGTCTATCATGGTCAAGGGCTGAGGTAGAGGGCGGAAGGGGAGTGCCGGGCTCATGAACTATGCTCAAATCTATGAACTATGACTCATAGCAAGAAAGGATGACACGTCCCAAAGGCTCACACACAAGCTAGTACCTTGACATCAGATCTTGGGACCACAACGGGCGGGTAATTCCTCTCCCCCGCCCCAACCCCAAAGCACTTCAATAGGCTCTTGAAGCTTGTGTTATCTTGGACATGGTGGATGCAGTGGTCGCTGTGCCTGACTGAGAGAGGTGCAAGATCCTGGAGAAGTTGTGTGGGTAGCAGATTATGAAGGACTTAGAGACCAGCCTTACGTGTCTGCACCATTATTTTGTTGGCGATTGGGAGACACTGGAGGCTTTACATTTTTAAGATTTATTTGTTTGAAAGGCAGAGTTACAGGGTTGAGGGGAGAGAGAGAGAGAGGGAAAGAGAGACCTTGACCACAGTCACCACCACCATCATCCTTTTTTTCTCTTTAGATTGCAGACAATGCCCAGTTTGCAGACATCAAAGGACTGATGCCAGCGGCTCTCAGTCAGGCAGTTTTGCCATCCAGTGTTTGTCCCCAAAATGGATGGCACAAGGGATGCTGCTGAACATCCTACGGGGCACAGAGAACACCACCCCTCCCACCCTCAAATCCAAACATGCTTCTGAAAATCCACTCTGTAGACCGTGTGCCAGGAACAAAAACAAAGCTAAAACGCATTAGAGTGACGTCTGTTGTTCTGGAGTTTCAGCAAAGGCCCTCTGCACCACAAACGTGAGAACAGAGGCTGAGCATCGACACTTTCTAAAGGGAGAAATGTGGCTGCTCGCATTGGGTTTCCCAGAAGCCCCAGCAACTACACAGGTATCTGTGAAATGTTGGCTCACCTGAGAGGCTTCCCCAGGGGGAGCACTGGGGGATTGGTGTGGGAAATGAGACAGCAGTCAGGGAAGGAGCCATTGCATGGTGGACAGACAGTAGGCAGGTGACACTTTATGCATTGCAGGAACTTCGGGAGATGGTACAGAACATGGCTCGGCAGAGGTGTGTATCCTCCCAGTCCCATCTCTCCTTGGTGAGGGCTGCTTCCAGAGAGGCAGATTTCCCTAGCACCTCTGGCCTGCCCTTGCTGTTTCCAGTGGACAGATGGACCTGGACTTGCAGCAGCCAGTCACTCTGAACAATGGTGACGTAGGTATACCACAGAGCAGAAGCCATGTATACCACCTTCTAATACGGCGCCTCCAGCTTTATTCTGCCCCTGTCCCCATCCCCCCACTCCACCTCTAGCTTATATAAGAGAAGTAAAAAAAAATTCACTGGCTCATGAAAGAGGCAGATAGGAAGGAATGTCTTAGGGGGAAGGGTGGTTGTTGCTGTGAGAGGTGTACCCAGGGAGGGATAAAGATGCATCAGTTTACTTTCATGTTGATGGTGGAGACTTCAGAAGAACTCTTGGGGACTTGGCAGGTGTCTTTCTTTTGGCATGTGCTAACAGTGACTGAATTTCATGTTCACTGAGACAAGAGCAGTGAGGAAATCAGACTGGAGCTGTCTGCTTGCCTAGGGGCAGAGCGAAGAGAGAAAAAGGGATATTGGGAGAGAGCTGCCAGTCATTGATGGGAGCTGGAGTAAGAGTCTCATTCTTGCATCTGACTGTGCACTTTGCGGGGACTGGGGTGGGCAGCCAACTGCAGATCTTGTCATAAATGGCCCATGCAGGACAGGACCCCAGCAAAGCAGAAATTCCAGAGCAGCCAGACTCAGGAGCCCAGGCCCTCACCAAGTACCATGTAAGAGAAACCACTTATCATCCTGGATGTTCCATAAGGCAACACAGTAGCAAGCTGAACTTTCCTGAGCCTCTCTTGAGACAGTAAAGCAACGCCGTGTCTTTCCTGGCTGCAGAATGTCAGCTCCAAGGAGCTGTGTTGGAGCAGGGGTAAAGCTCAATGTGAATAATGCTGAGTTACACAATGATTGGATCGGACCAGAAATCCCATCAAGATGCACCTGCCGTCCTGAGATGCAGAATCCCAGCAAGCTGATATGAAAGGGCAGTTGGTGGAAGAACGAAGCTAATTGCTGTTGCATCTGAATCTGCTTTGCTGATAGGCTGGTTCTAATTGCAGGTGCAGCTGCTGACCGCCTGGGACAGCTGCTGTCCACCACGATGTAGCAATGAGCCTGCATCTCGCTTGCTCAGCCTAGGTGTCTAATGTGCTGAGTGAATCCAGGGTCCCTGACGCTTAGGAATCATTTCTAAGCCATGGGATGAAACTGGGAGAGAACTGGCTTGCAAGGGTGTTGGCTGAGCAGGGTTTTCAGCTGCTGTCTGAATTGAGAAGTTAGTCAGACACCAACTAAGGAGATGCTGAGAAAGCAGGTGGCTCTTTGACCCCAGGACAGAAGGAGTGATGGAGGACCAGCTGGCAGGCTTGACGGGATTGGAGCTGGGAGCAGTAGGATTCTCTTAAGGAGAAGTTTGCAGGATAATATACCGCCCCCGCCCCGCAAGGCCAAGCACTGTCTGCTCCAGCCCCTGCCAGCTCCCAGCTCTGCTTCTTTCTTTCTTTCCAATAAAAATACATTAAAAATTAAATACAAAAATGAAAAAAAATACAAGTGTGTCTGGTTCAGTGCCATATTAAAAATACAGATAAAAACACAGTATGTTAATTCTCTGTCTCTCGCACTAGCATCCTGTGTGTGTGTGTCTGTGTGTGTGTGCCAGTTCAAGACCTGGATGCTCCACTTCCTAGAACCTCCCTATTAATAACTTGGGGAAACAGTGGAGGATGCCCCAAGTCCTTGGACCCCAGTACCCATGAAGGAGACTCAGAAGAAACTCCAGGCTCCTGGCTTTGGGCTAGACCAACTTTGGCCAATGCAGCCATTTGGGGAGTGAACCAGCGGATGCAAGGTCTCTCTATTTCTCCTTCTCTTTGTAATTCTTTCACATAACAATAAAAATAAATCTTTAAAAAATGCAAATTAAACCTGTGGGAAGAAGTCACCTCTTCTTTTTGCTTTGCTAATCCTGGCTCAGTTTGTATTCTTACAGAATCATCTCTAAATTCGCATTTTGTTAGACATATCCTGGCTTTTTCCCATAAAGGTAATATTTCTTCGTTTTATGGACTGCTTTTTTTTTTTTTGGTTAAAAAAGATTTTATCTCTGAAACGTTTTCCATTGCTTACTAACCATTTATTTTCTTCTGTTTATCGTTACTGATGAAATATAACTGAGCACGCCATAAAACCAGTGTTAAATTTGTTATTTAGTCTGGGTGACTTTATCTTGATAGCTCAAAGATCTGTGTTCCAGATTTGAAGGTATTTAACAAGTCAGGGGAATGTACTGAAGCAAGCTATGAGAGTGTCTTTGGGGAGAGGGAGCTGTGTGCTGGGAGGAAGACTACATTTTTAAGGTCTATTCTTTTGTTCCTTTGAGTCTGGGTTTGTGTGAATGTTGTTAACTTCTTCAAAAGGGACAGAAGAAGCCCAAGGGAGCTTGAATTACGGAGTTTGTTCAGGGCCGGGAAAGAGATTCAACCTGACACGCCTCAATTCTCAGCCTGGCCAGCAGAGGGCAGAGGATGCCTAGTCACGGTGCAGGCTCACAATTTGTCCTTTTGACCTTCGCTCTTCCTCTCCCTGCACCTGTCCCCTCGCAGGAGACCCTGGACAGGCAGAGAAAGTGGCAGAGAAGCTTGGCAAACTATTGAGCCGGAGGGTGTGGATGAAATGAGCAAACCGCCTGGTTTTCCTCGATTCCTTGCTAAACAAGCCTCTGAC